GAGCACCCCCCAACCCACATGGTCATGTCCACTGTGGGAGGTGACGGTGGCAATCCTTAGGGTTAGCAGTGGTGATGAGCACCAGGAATTGGCTGCTGAAAACAGAGGCCAGTTGCACAATGCAAAGAATGGAAGACCCATGTTTGCATTCCCTCTAGAGATATCTAGTCCTGAAAAGTAATGAAAAGTAAGTATATCCTAGACTTCATGCAGTGTGAGTTCTACTGGCAGGTACCTACTGATTCCTAGAACCAACAAAGAGTAAATCGTACAGTGTCGACTGGGGTGTTGTGACCCAAATTTTCGGACCAAATGACAGCGTTTCTGCCAACATCTGCAGGGCCTCTAAGTTTTCACAAGGGTCTCTGCGATTCTCTGATCCATCCATCAACCTCCTTGGGAAGTTCTATCCTGTCATCTTCCTTGTCTCCTGCCTCTTCTGGGACAGTTCCATGACCTCCCCGCCAGGGACACCCCCGGGACTCCCTGTTCTCCCTGGCCTGACACTCACATACCATGCTGGGTCCTGTGAGCCCAGTGCTTTTTGCAAGGACTGTGTGCTCCTTCTGGGGTCACTAGCCATCTCCCTTGCAGTCGCATGCCTCTTCCTGCGCTGGGCCTCCACTGAGCAGTCTGTGAGGCCAGACTGTGCCCATGTCACGGGCACGGAAGCAAGAATCCAGAAGGTCCACACGACCTGCTCCTAGTCCCACTGTGTGGAGACTGGGTCAAGGATGGTCCACGAACAGAGGAAGACTTGGGCCCAGGGAGACTGAGGGAGGATGTGGCACAGTGAGCCTGCAGGAGGACAGGTGGCACTGTGGGGACCTGGCGCTCAGGCCTGCTAGGAGAACACATCTCACCCACACCAGCTCTGTCCCCAGGGCTAGAGGATGTCATGGTAGCCACCCCCCGAGGCTGCAGGCTGACAGTGACTGAGAGGAGAGGAGGTGCACCTGATGCAAGAGAGAACCCTCAGGCAGAGAGGAAGAAGCAGGTGCTCCCCCAGCAGCTAGAGGAACTCGGGGTAGCCACCCTCCCAGGCTGCAGGATGTCAATGGCTGGCAGGAGAGGAGACACCTGGTGCAGGAGAAAACCCTCAGGCAGAGAGGAGGGAGCAGGCTCTCCCCAGCAGCAGGTGCACTGGGGCAGGCTAAGGGGGCCTCCGTTGACAGAGGGGCCTGCAGCTGGGGTTTCGAGACAGACCCCCACATCAGGTTCAGCACAACCTTGTCTGGATGGCCTTTGTGCCCCAAATACAATGTCTGGCCCAGGACCCTCCTCAAGCCCCGACTCCCAATCCTTTGACCTCAGCTCAAGTGACAAGAAATGAACAATAGTATAGGTGGGGTTGGGTGCACTGGGACATTTGCTTTTCTGGTCCATGCTGTAACATTGCTGGCATTTAAAGATCTCAGGGCTTTGATTCAAAATCGGTAGGATGCCGGGGACCCCAATCGGCTTTCTGGAATCCTGCTCCTGGTCCGTGCAGCCCTCCCATCCCACAAGTTCCACTCAGAATCCCTCCAGGTCACTGACCCACAGTCTTGGCCCCTCAGATGGCCTGGAGAATGAACCTTCAAAAAGCGATCCCGGTGGGGCAGCAGGACACGCTGCGGATTCCAGTAAAACCGCCTCCCAGAGACTGAGGGTACTGCTGGACGAGCTGTCTGAACACAACCATGTCAGTGTTCCAGGAAGATACCAGAGGCACAAGAGTAACTGAGGAGCATCTGATGGTCAGTTAGGGGCAGTCAGAGCTTCCAGACCCTTCTTCCCTAAAGCTCTTCAATCCTCAGCCTTTCTTCTGGTGATTCTGCTTGGTTTCTATTTGTCCCAACTGTTATCCATTGCCTTAGGCAGCAGAGACTCACGTGGGTCTTTAAATGTTTTGAACATTGAATGTCCTCCAGTAGCCACTTCACTGCTGGGAGAGTTGGAAGCAAGGAAGAAGTCCCAGATGACACCAAGGGTCTGGACTTGGTGTTTCACTCTCCTGAGTCGGGGACACCTCTCGGAGTTGCATGTGGTCAGCTGGGGGAGGGGGCAGGCACCTGACGTGGAAAGATGCGTTATAGGTGAGGCGGGAGGCCGCCGGGGTATGTGCCTGGCATCCGGCCTCAACAGGTCTACAAAGTGGCAGACTGGCTGGGATAAACTTCAGGCTGAGGAAGAAGGTGAGGGGAGCAGAAGGGACTGAGGAGGTTCGGCTCAGACAGGAGAGGGCTGAGCCACACTTTTGGGGGAAAGTGGGTCAGGTTCAGGTTCACAGGGATAGACCTTGAGGCCACTATGCCATGTGAAATAAGCCAGTCCCTACAGGACCGACACCGGAGGACCCCACTTGTGAGGAATGGAGAGCACTCCCATTCACAGAGGTGGAAGGAGCTGCTGGTTGCCAGGGCTGGGGAAGGGGAATGGGGGTTAGGGTCTCGTGGGTAGAGTTTCAGTTTGGGATGATGAAAACATTGTGGCAATGGACGGAGGTAGCCGGTGCAGAACAGGGAATATACTTATTGCCACTAAAACGTGCTTCATGGTATCAGCTATATGTCCATTATACCAGAATTCCAAAGAAGTGAGTCAGGAAGTCGGGGCCATAGCGAGTCCCTGGAGGGCCCAGGAGCAGGGAGCCTGTATTTGAGTTCTCGCTCTCATGTTCTGCCCCTTGTTGGGTGACTGAGCTCAGTAAGTGCTTGCTAAGACACAGTGCAGGCAGCTGGTCCAGAGAAAGTGCACAAGTGTAAACCCACTGGTGGGCACTGAGGAATCCCAAAGGGACGCACATCCAGACAGAGCGAGTGCCCATATTTCACAAACACCAGCACAGAAATAACCATTTAAAACCAAGGCAGGAACCTTATATAGCCCAGAGGGCTCCACGCTCCTCAAGGCCGAGCTAGTTACCACGGCAAAGGCCTCTGGTGGTGAGGGCACTGGGGGTCTGGGAGGTGGCTCGGTGCACCCCTGACCCTGAAGCCCCATGGCCACGGTCAGGTGTAAGGATTGGGAGGGAAGACCCGGCCAGCACCCGTTCTGGCTCCATGGCTGCTACAGGGCTGCTCCCAGCCCCAACAGGTGATGTCTGTTTAGAACCACGGAGAAAATATTTTCCCTCAATTTTTCTTTTTAAGATGGTTGCTCAGCATTGACACAGAAAAATATCTGACATAAAACTGGAGCCGTTCACAGCTGCATAGGACCCGGAAGTGATCAAAATATAGTGACCGCAAAGAGAGGAACTTGTGCCCCCAGGCAGGCCTCCTGTGCGCAGGCCTGGTTGGGACGCTGGCGTGCCCATGCAAGCAGTGCTGGGATCCAAAGTTTCCCTCAAGGGGACAGAAGTAGGAATCTGCTCTGACGGCTCCGCTTAAGGCAGCACCCCCTGATGAAGACGGGGGTAGCCCCTCGTTACTTCCAGATGTCCTGGTGATTCTTGGGCACAGCCATAGATCTCAGCTTCTCCATGACAGGGGTCAACCTATAAGCTGTGAGTCTCAAAGGTCCTTCAGGGGACGGCCCAATACCGCAGGTAGCACATCTCCTCCAGGGACAGCCCCTCATGAGTTCTGGGTGCCCTATTGATTCTTGGGCACAGCCATGGATCTCAGCTTCTTCATGACCCGGGGAATGATGGGGGGGCCAACCCAGGAGCCGTGGGTCCCACAGGTCCTCCGTGGACAGCACATTGTTGGACCTGTGCCCCAGCAGGTACCTGTTCAGGTGGCTCTTATCGGGCCACATGGCCTCAATCCCATTGGCCCAATTGATCACCATCGCCTGGTGACAGGCCGAGGTCAGTCGGGGAAACTCCACCACCAATTCCCCAAAAAAGGCCCCCATGTAGTAAAAGTTGCCCTGGTACCTGGGGATGGGGGTCTGGGACTGTGGCCAGCGCTCGTAGATAAACTCCTCATGGGCTGCCCAGTAGAAACTGAGGTGTGGGGTGCCAAAGAGGAGGGACAGGATCTCCATGTCCACGTGGTCCCAAAACTTCATTCCCACATCCACGTCCACGCACACAAGGTCATCCACGTCACAGAGGATGCGCTGCTCGCGGAATCGGCTGATCATAGCTATGTACCACATGGACACATCCTGCCAGAGCAGAACGCCGTGGACAACGACGACCACCGCCCTCCGGCCCTCCCAGAGTGGCACACGGGGCACAGCAACCAGCTGGTCGGTGAAGACGTTGTAAGGGACCCTGTGTCCACCATGATGACCAGCACCCTCTGGCCTACCTGGAGGGCACATGGGGCCCTGCAGCTGGCTGATTGGTGAAAACCTAGTAGGTGACCCCATGTCCCACCATGTAGTGCTTATCTGCTGTCTGCAAGAACAGCTCCAGGAGGACCATGCATCCACAGGGGCAGTGGACAGGGCAGGAAGAGGGTCACTGCCAGAGGCTAGCAGCAGGCCAGAAGAGTTAGGGGCCATGGACGTGTGCACCTTCTTCAAGGGGGCAGGCCCTGGGCTACTTAAAGCAACAGCCACCTCCTGACCTTCTTGAGGGAATCTGCCAGCAGGACCTCCCTAATGTCTGTTCCCAGAGATGGTGACCATCAGCAGCCTGACTTCCAAAGGGGAGCCTGAGGCTTCGGAGGCTGGAAACCCATGCAGCTCCACAGTCAGCATGCTGGATCCAGTCACTCCCCCTGTGCTGAGCTCCTGGGCAAACTCTTGCAGGTGTCCTCCACTGCCCCCCCCCCCGCAGATCCTATCCCCACTTTCCAGGTTGGAAGCACTTTTGGGCACAGCCCTCATTTCTATGTCTTACAGAGCGGCTAGAATCAGCAGGGCCGGACACCTGTCCCACTTTGCTTTGAGTGGGCTGCCGCTGGCCCCCAAAGACCTGTCTTCACTTCCTGTAGGGTCTTCCCTGGAAGGCTACTGGGCATCCTGCTGACAAGGTGCTCAGTAAGCCACTGGTATTCCTAGGAGGGGTTACCCTCAAACTCTGCCACATCAGGAATCAAGTCCAGCCCGTGGACAGGGAAGGCAAAAGACGACACCAGGAAGAAAAGGGGGCTTGCTTAGGCCCCGGCTTGAATCCAAGTGTGTGAGCATCCAGGTCCAGGTCTACATAAGCCCGGCCCCAAAGGTTTCAAAGTCTTATCTAACCACGTCCCATGGCTGGTCTCCTTTTAAGCGTACCACCTGCTCCCCCCTGTGAGGAAAGCAGCTCCCGCATTATAGGCAAGTGTGGTGAGCCACTCTGGGACTGATGTTTTTGCATAGGCGCTAAGGCTACTTCCCTGGACCTGCCCCATACCAGGCAGGTTAGTAAATCCCTCACACAGGGAAGGCTGACACTACATTTAAATAGGGGATAAGCACACTCAACCAGCAGACATGAGTCAGGTCACCAGAGGGCAAGTCCAGACCTAGCCAATTGGGGAGCAAGTCAGATATGAAGTAAGGGGATAGAAGAGGGATCTTGGCAAAGGGCACAGTAAAAGCAAAGGCTTGTCGTCAGGCCCAGGGCACATGTGGGACGACCACACACTTGGATGGCTGTGGTGGAAGAGGTGAGGCTGGAGAGGACGGGTAGGAAGGGAGCATACCACAGAAAGGCCCAAAGGTTATGTTCTGAAGACAACACTTTAGATACCGGAGGAGAATGGGTTCTGTGCAGCAGAGGACAGGGATACCCTAACCCTAACCCGAATCCCTAACTCCTAAGCCTAGCCCTAACCAATACTACCAACCCCACAAAATCAGCAAAATGCATCCCTGTACCTTTCTTAATATAAATGTAAGAAGCTAGATCAGAAGAATTGCAAAACCAAGAGCTGATAAATAGACTGTGCACCCTAAGCAAGTGGGTCTGCACAAACACCTCAAAGGTTATTCAATAGAGTGAAACAAGCAATGTTATACATCACAATGAATTTTGAAATAAAAACACGTGGTCATATTAATTGATGCAGAAAATGTTCTAACCAAAGTCCAGTATCTGTTGCTGATATAAATACTCATGAAAGAAGGAATAAGGAGTAATTTTCTCATTAAATCTCTAGCAAACACCATGCTTAAGTCTGAGGATGGACAGCTCGACTCTGAAATCAGGAACAAGGACAGGATGCTGGTTTTCATCTGTTGCTCAATATTGGACTGAAAGTTCTACCCAGAAGGTTAAGCCAAGAAAGAAGGCATCCACATGTGAAAGGAAACACTAGAACTCTGTCTATTAAGAGCCCAGGGATGACATCACCTTATATAGAGCTTCCTAAAGAATCAACAAAAATGATTACAGCCAGATACCTAACTCAGCACAGTTACAGGACAAAATATCAATACACAAAATCACTCTTATTTGTATACACTAGCAATGAATCATCCAAAAAGGAGTTTAAGAAAACAATTCCATTTTAGGGAACATCAATATTAACCAAATATTTATGTATAGATGTAATCAAGGTGCACATCTTGTACACTGAAAGTTACAAAACATTGCTGAAACAAAGTAAGGGAAACCTAAACAATTCTGAAGACACCCCATGGTGATGAAAAGACATGCTATTGATAAGATGGCAGTAGAATACAAGACGATGTGGAAATTCAATGTGTTCCCAAGAAAATTCACAAAGGCCTTTGCGAAGAAATGCACAGGCTAATCCTAACAGTCATATGGAATTTCAAGGGACCACAAGATAGCCAGAACAATCTTGAAAAAGAAAATCAAAGGTGAAAATCATAGTTCCAAAGTTCAAATCTAATACAAAGCAACAGTCAAGAAAAGGTTGTGATACTGTCGTAAATGTATGCATTCACCCTGAAGCAAATAATGCACTATATGTTAATTAATTGAATTTAACTTAAAAAATTTTTAAATAAATATATAAAATGACAATATTTATTGTTATGCATAACCTTTTCAAAAGGTATGCATACAGATCAGTGGGATTTAACTGAGACCAGAAATAAACCCCTTCTTCTATAGTCCATTGAATTTTGACAAGTGTGGACAACAATATATTGGGGGACAATTGGTTATCCATGTGCAGAGGAATGAAACTAGACCTTACCTCATTCCACATAGAAACGTTAGCTCAAAATAAGTAAAGGTATAAATGTAAGAGGTAAAATTATAAGCTCTATAAGAAATAAATGGGGATAAATCTTCATAACCTTGGATTTAGCAATGCTTTTAGCTCTGACAGAAAAGCATAAGAAAAGAAAGAAAAAATAATATCCTCAAAGTTAAAAATCTTTTCAGCATGCCTGGGTGGCTCAGTTAGTTAAGGATCTAACTTAAATTTGGCTCAGATCTTGATCTCAGGGTCATGATATCAAGCCCCATGTCAGGCTCCACGCTGAGTGTAGGGCTTGCTTGAGAGTCTCTCTCCCTCTTCCACTTCCCCCGACCGCTCACACACTCTCTCCCCTCGCTCTTAAAAAAATGTAAAAAAAAAAAAGTTACAAATCTTTCTACATAAGAAGTGACTATCCTGAAAGTGAAAAGACAGCCCCCAGAAGGAAATATTTGTACTTTATGTATCTAGTAAGAATCTGTTGTCCAGAATATGTAAAGAGCTTTTACAACTCCTCAACACAAAGATTTCCTAATTTTAAAATAGACAAAGGACTTGAATAGACACTTCTCCAGAGAAATCATGGGGAGTTGGGTGTTTAATGCATAGAGTCTCCTTCCGGGAGAATGAACATATTCTGGAGAATGAGGTACAATTGTGGGAACTCAGCTAAGGCCAGAGCATTGTGGAAAGGGGAAACACAAGCGGGGGAGTGGGAGAGGGAGAAGCAGGCTTCCAACTGAGCTTGGAGCCCGACACGGGGCTCAAACTCAGGACCCTGGGATTCTGACCTGAGCTGAAACAGACACTCAGAGACTGAGCCACCCAGCCGTGCCATGTTAGTCTTGTTTTATTTTGAGTTATACTTGAGCCTTGAGCAACTCGGGGCTGAACTCTGTGGGTCCTCTGATAGGTGGATTTTTTCCCCTGGTGAATAGAGTATGGTAGTATGAATGCATTTTCTCTTTCTTGTGATGTTCTTAATAACCTTTCCTTTTCTCTAGTTTACTTTATTGTAAGAACGTAATATGTAATATATTCAACATACAAAATATGTGCTAATCGACATTTTTTGTTGATGGTAGGGCTTCTGGTCCACAGTAGGCTATCAGTAGCTATGTTTTATTGGGAGGCTCAAAAGTTATATGCACATCTGTGGCTTCATGTAGGGTCAGCATCATTGACCCCCCACAGTGTTTGAAGGTCAGGTGTATTTCAGAGCTGGGGGTAGAGAATAATTTTTAAGGGGTCTTGGGCCTTTAAAGATCTTAGTTCAAAACTCAGATTAGCTGGGATACTGTGCAGTGCAGTGGGGTGGGGTTGGGGGGAGGCCTTTCTGAGATACTCCAACCCGAGACCAGCTGATGTGGCAGTGTGTTGTTACCTGACTGCATGTGGGAACCACCTGGGGAGAAGCACAAATGGGAGGACAGGCAGGTGCCCAGCATTTTCAAGCTCCTCTACTGACCACAGCATGTTCCCAAGTTGGCCATGTCCACTCTGGGTGCCCTAAATTGGCCCAGCCTTGCAGGATTCCGGGCTGATCACCTTGCAGAACTGTAGGAAATGAGAATTAGCCTTCCAACCTACCCACTCTCCAACCCTGCTGAAATTGTAGCTCTCCATCTTAACTCCTGGACCTTGTTATATCATCACTGTGAGGGTCAAGGGACAGGAGGGGGCTCCTGACACACAGGACAAGGTGTGGCCTTAGTAGCTAAACAGATGTGAGTTCGAATCCTGACTCTGCCCTGTAAAAGCTCTGCCATCTGGGGAAGACTCTGAACTGCAGTTGCCCCCTTGCAAAGTGGGACGGTGGTAATGCCGCCTACCTGCAAGATTTCCAAGAGGCCCATGGAGGGGAGGCTGGGAGATGCGTGCATCCCCTCTGCCCCAGCTCTGCAGCTGGGTGCACGAGGATCACCCTGGCTCTGCCATCTTGTCTTCAGCCCTCTTGTGTGCACGCCTTCTCCTGGGCTCCCTCACCCTTCCCACCCTAGGTCAGGCTCCCCCTACTCGCCATAGGTTAACACCCCCTCCGCAGGAACGGTGGAGGTCTGCCTTGCTGTGCCACAGTCTCATTGATTCCTCTCCCCTTGCCTGCGTTCCACCGTGGTTCCACCGTGACTGAGTGCAGTGTAGCCTACTTTCCCCCCTCCATTGCCTGTGAGGCCACTGTCCGCCCTCCCAGAGATCCCTGGTACTCTCCATGCCGGCCCCTTCCAACCACCCAACCTGGAATTGTGTCCATAGCCAGCTCCAGAAACCCAGCAGCATTAAGTCACACCTTGCTAAGACCTTAAGTGGCCCTGACTCACTGTCG